CAGCAGCTCCTGTGGATGCGCGCCTCTGGCTTCTGTACGGAGCCAGCACGTCTCACAGGTGGGCTTCCTCTTTTCCTCCAGTTTCTCCCAGCATCCACTTAACACATGACCCAAGGGCTGCACTTCGGGGCATTTATCCCAGAGAAATGACAACTCATGTCCGCAAAAAAAACCTATCCACAAGTGTTCATAGCAGCTTTATTTATAGTAGACAAAAATGGGGGCAGATCCAAGTGTCGCTCAGTGAGTGGATGGCTCCGCCACCTGCAGTACACTTGTGCCGTGGACTGTTATACAGCAATAAAAAGGAACGAACTGTTGCTACACGGAATGACCTGGATGGATTGCAAGGGCATTATGCTGAGTGGAAAAAAGCCAGTCGCCAAAGGTCACATGCGGTATGATTCCATTTATACGATAGGCTTGAAATGACAAAAAAATTATAGAGATGGAGTTGGGGATGGTAGGGGAGACGGGCGGTGACAAACAGGGACATGGGAGTGGGGTCTTCTTAGTGACGGAACAGCCCTGAATCTTGATTGCAGGGGTGGTTGCATGAATCCACACCTGTGATAAAATGACATAGAGCTACGGGCACGTGCCTGTGCCAAGGTCAATTTCCTGGTTTGGGCAGCGTGCTGTGTTCCGTAAGAGTTTTGATATTATACATAACTTGGGGAAAACGGAGTGAAGAATACACCAGACTTCTCTGTGCTATTTTTGAAGCTTCCTGTGATCTAGAATATTTCAAAACTTAACAACAGCCAAAACATATAGCATGTGTGGCTCACCTCACATTTCCCTTGGAAAGTGCTGCTTTGGGTGCTGAAAAGGCTTTGGAAAGCCCTCCGGGCCAGTAATAGACTCTCAGGACGTCAGCCTTCACTGTCCCGCCCCTTACCTGTCCCCCTCTTTCTTGTAAGTGGCCAGGGGACTGCCATGGAAGGCCCAGTCAGGTTAACAAGTGAGAGCTCACCTTCATTTCACACTTACGTCACCAACCTCCCTGAAAACTCCTTTTTCTTAGAGTTATTTTTAGCAACCTGTGTTTTAAAATTGTGACGTTTTCATTTCCCAGTGTTTCAAAGCTGATTACTTTTTCTAGAGACCAGCCTTTGCGGATCATGTTAAAAAATAATCTTTTACCACCTCACATCCATTAAGGTGGCTACTATTTAAAAATAATAATAACAAGTGCTGGTGAGGATGTGGAGAAATTGGAACCCTTGTGCCCTTTAGTGAGAATGTTAAATGGTGCGGCTGCCTGAAAAACAGTGTGGTGGTTCCTCAGAAAATTAAGCATAGAATTACCATCTGATCCAGCAATTTCACCCAAAGCACATGCCCAAAGGAATTGAAAACAGGGTTTCAAAGAGGTGTTTGCACACCCACGTTCATTGCAGCATTATTCACAACAGCCAAGAGGAGGAGGCAACCCAGTGTCTATCGAAGGGGGCATGGCTAAGCGAAATGTCATCTGTCCACACAGTGGAATATTATTCAGCCTTAAAGAGGAGGGACCTTCTGACACAGGCTGCGACATGGATGAGGCCGGAGGACACTGTGCCCAGTGGAATAAGCCGGTGACAAAAGGACAATTGTAATGTGATTCCACCCATGTGAGGGACTCGAGTCGTCCAACTCATAGACGTTACGTCTCCGTCCTGCGGCTGTTGAGTGGGCCTGCGCGCCCTTCCCTTGAATCCCCGCGATCCTTTGCACAGACCCGTTTCCTCCCCAGGAACTGAGTGAGTCGGTCTGTGCAGGAGTAAAGGGCTGCTCGCCTGATTCTGTTCTGTCAGGTCAGTGCTCTGTGAGCAGCAGACTAGAACTCCAAGTGGCTGGTGTTCTGTGAAAACCCTGTTTGTAAGAAATTTGCGCAGAACTCGAAATATCTGATGAGGTTTCTGGGCTTGGCCAGCTGAGGGTGGCATCTTCCGTACCTCAGTTCTGGATGATGAACGTGGGCAGTGTAGAAAGGAGCCTGGCCCCTTACCACCTGCCTGAGGGCTGGGCTGGGGCACCGCGCCTACTGTGCCCACCTCCCCCATCGCCGGAGGGATGGCACGGGTGTGGCGCTCTCCTGCAGCCGCTCCCGCCCCAGCGGTGTGACCGACTGAACCTGGTGGCGCCCACCTGCCTGGTAACCACAGGGAAGCCAGTGCATGTTGTTCTAGGTCTTTCCCGCTTTGTTGAAGGCATGGGCTTTCCCTGGGGGGCGGAAGCCTTCCCTGGCTTTTCCCCAGAACCGGAAGATGAGGACACATTTTTTGGACCAAACCTGAGTGCTACCAGCAGCCCTCCCAGTGTCCCCCCAGCAGGCCCTGACTTGCCCCCGTCCTGCAGGGCTTGTGGAAGGTTCTGTCCTGCCGCCCCCAATAAAGCAGTCCTTCAGCACAGCCTGGCTGTGGTGGGTGTCCTGGGAATACCTGGGCAAGACAGGGACATTTGTCTTGTTTGAGCTGATAAAATATTCTCAAGGGTGCCAGAGCTTTCCTGAAAAGCTGCCCTTTCCTGTAACAGCATTATCGATTTGCAAGATTTCTTAACTAGCACAAATGTTCTGTTTAAACTTTCTTTCATGCTTGTGTAGCTGGAAACCCTTAAACAGGCTTAGTGTCCAAGGGAGGGAAGATGGGAGCCCTGTGAAACAAGGACAAGCCACTGCCGCCTCCGCCTTTCCGGGAGGCCACACAGGAGAAGGACCTCAGCCCCAGGCCTGGCCTGCATGGGGGCAGGACCACGTGGGGCCGCTGTCCAACTCCTGGGCCGTGGGAGGTACCTAGCAGGTGCTGGGTAAATATTGAGAAAGTGCTATAAGCACTTAAGATCACTCTTTACTTGGTGGTTAAGAAACACGTAAAATTTATCGTCCCGGTCTCACTGCTAATCTAACCAAACTTTTTGACTTGGCATACATTATGCCAGTGAAGGATTTGGAACTTTTCAATCAACTCTTTATTATGTGGAGATACAGAGCGAGTCCAGCCCAAAGATATTGGGGCTCTGCTGTACGTGGAGTGTTATGTACAAAGTACACAAGAATTGGAGCACACCGGAGGCGGCTGAGGCTGGTATCACATCCGCGTGCCCTGTGCCTGGCTGCGCAGATGCTGAGCGTGTACTGATGGCCCCGCCTTACGGCTCTCCGGGTCCGGTGGGGAAAGAGACACCAGATAAACAACACACACAGATGATCACAGTGGTGAAAGCTGCAGTGAGGAAAATTACAGGGTGCTCCCAGGAAGTGTTACAAAGGCCCTAATTTGGACAGGTGGATCCGAAAACTCTCCCCAAAGAAGTGACAGTTGAGCTAGGACGAGAAGAATGAGTAGACGTCAGCCAGCGGCAGAGCTGGGGAGAGGTTCCAGGCACAGGGAATGGCATGTGGGAGTGCTGGAGGCAGGAAGGGGCTGGGGACGAAGTCCGCCATGGCCCGAGAGGGAGGTGGGCAGAGGATGCTGGTGAGTTTGGATTTGGTCCCAGGGACAGTGGGGAGCCATTAAGTTTCAGGCTGGCATTGGGTCCATGCTCTAGAACAGCGGTTCTCAACCTTTGGGGTCGAACCACCCTTTCACAGGCGTCGACTAAGACCATCGAAAAACAAAAATATATTTACATTACGATTCATAACAGTAGCAAAATTACAGTTATAGAGTAGCCACAAAAATAATTTTATGGTTGGGGGGTCACCACAACATGAGGAACTGTATTAAGGGGTCGCGGCGTTAGGAAGGTGGAGAACCGCTGCTCTAGAAGAACCCGTGTGTGGTGTGAAAAATGAGCAGGCCGGTGAGGGCAGAGCAGGCAGAGCCATCCAGAGGCCCTTGCACCTGCCGGGTGGGAGGAGGTGGGCATGGCCAAGGGAGGTAGCAGAGGCTGTGGGGAAAACATGCCCAGGTTATTGACCCTTGGCACTTTAAGGGCAAATTGGTGACCTCGTCTCTCTGCTTCGTTTCCTTGTGGCTAATTCATTCCACCATCGTGAAGTTTTCCACACGATTCTCTCTCTGCTGATGGAAACGTGTGCCTGGCAAATCCGAGTTTTCATCAGGACAGTGCATTGTCTGTGTGTCCTCCTTCCAGCTCCTGGGGACAGGGGTGCGGTGTGGCACGAGCCTTCAGGAAGGGCCGGCCTGCGTCCTCTCCTAGCAGCTCACATCACAGGGGCTCGGACAAGAAGCGGGCGCAGGAGGGATGTGCTGGGTTAGCTTAACTGGGGACGGAGCAGGAGCGAGGAGGAAGGGTTATTTAGTGGCACACACTGGGTATATCGCACTTTGTGTTCCCCGCGAAACTGCATGAGGTGGGCATTTTTATTTTCATTTTATAGGTCAGGAATCTGAGGCCCCAGAATTAACATGCCCAGGTCACCCCACAAATATGCCGGGGGAGCCTAAGCTCAGCTGCCCGCTGTGGAGATGCTTCTTGAGCTGCACCTCCAAGGACAGTTAGGAGATAGAAGTGACTGGATCTGACAAAGGTTTTGTGGAGAGCAGGCAGGCTCTCCTCCCTGATGTCACGGTCACTTTAGTCCCACGAGAACCGAGTGCTCGCTGGGTGCTGGGCACCGGTTAGCAGCTGAAGAAAAGTGGAGGTTGCGCAAGACATGGTTGCCTTGGAGGAATGCACAGCCTAATGAGGGAGGAAGAAGAAAAAAGAAGTGACAATGTGAAAAGTGGCTTTTAAAAAATGGGGATATATTTATTTTACAAATGGAAACCGATGGCTAATATAAAAAGAGGAATGTCTGACTTGATGAAGACTTCCTAATCTAGAGACCATTCAAATCAATTGCTGTTATTAAAAAACAACATTATTTTAGGTGAGAATATGTTTCGAGGCCCCCAGCCCCATCCCACAGTACAGGGGACTCACTGCTTGTTGTCCTAAGTCACAGGCTCGGGAGGGCAGCGGGAGCGGGGGCCTTTAGCAGGAACTGTCTTTAGAAACAGCTTTGGCAAAGAGCTCCTTGTTAACACCGCTGTCTGTCCTGACAGGTGTCAGAGATGGCCGAAGACGGCAGCGAGGAGATCATGTTCATCTGTAAGTGGCCCGTGTGTGTCCCCCAGTGCAGACGGCATGGCACGTGCTGCCTGCGTAAAGCCACGTCCACATTTTGTGTTTATAATACGGAAGATATGATACACTGTTTCTCTCTACATTAAGATCGTTTTACTTGCTTTTAAGAAACGCTGTGTATTACGTGAGCAACGTGCTGCAGGGGTGTGGTTTTAAAAGGCTGGTCTTCCTCAGGACTTCCGGCAACGGGCACTCCGCAAGGGTTCAGAGATCTATGATATGTTAGGTTTATGGCAAACAGGTGGAATGGGCGCATTTTCATTTACTGGCATTCCTTGGGAAGATCTCATTCTTTGTCGCCATAGAAGTGACTCTGCATGCTTTGAAATGTGCCGTAGAGCTGGCTCTTTTTCTTGGGGGCATGTCCTGTGTTTGCTCTGTTTTATATTTGTGGGGAGCCCTGTTGGTCACTCCCCTCAGATGGGGACTCTGTGTTTCCTGGGCTTGGAGCTGTGTGACATCCTTTGGGTGTCCCCCTCCCTGCATGCATCCCCTCTGACGGTCTGATGTCTGTTTGCAGGGTGTGAAGACTGCAGCCAGTACCACGACTCCGAGTGTCCTGAGCTGGGCCCTGTGGTCATGGTCAAAGACTCCTTTGTGTTGAGCAGGGCAAGGTGAGTGGCCACCCTGAGCCGTTTCTACAGTCCTGCCCGTCTGACAGGATTGACTGCATGTCAAGAGCAGGCAGAGCCTGGGGTCCTGTCCGTGCCCCAGGGAATGGAGTGGCCTGCTGCCGGGAGGAGCCCAGACATGTTTCAGAGGGCATGTCTTGTATCCGCTCGTGATTTTAGGAGCCAAGCTGACACCCAGCGCGGCCGCTGCGGAGGGGCCGGGGGCTGGGCTGGCTTACGGGTGGAGGCGCGACGACCGAGTTGTGTGCCAGCCGTCATGGTTTCCCCCGTGGCCCGAGTCGAGGCCTGCTGTCTGACACGTGCCCACTGTGGGCAAGGTGGGCTGGGGTAGGGGTGCAGCAGTGAGTGGGGGTAACAAGACAAAGCCATGGAAGCTTCTGGAAAAGCACCCACAGATCTAGTGAGGAGGCTCAGTGGCTCCGCCATTCCGTGTGTCCCTGTGGGGCTGTGCCCCCTGGTGGCCTGAGCAAAGGCTGCATGACTGCTGCCTCCCAGCCCGGGTCGGAAGCGTTATGGCTGTTTGAACTTGGAGAAGGCATTCCCCTCTCCACACCCCAGTTGCCTCATTAGTGAAGAGCAGAGGATAACAGTACCCCTAAAAGTCATGGTCATTATATATCCCGTGTTTGGCACACGGAGGCCCTAAAAATGATCGTATTTCCCCATGTATAAGACGCACCCTTTTTCAAAAAATTTGGGGTCTAAAAATTTGCATCTTATGCAGTGGTTGTAGATTTCAAATGCCATAGATGGAACTGAGGACGAGGCAATATATGAAGACAGTGATTCGTCATCAGACACAGATGAGGACAAGCTCATGGTGGGGAGTTTTGACAGTGATGAGGAGTTGTATGAATTTTATAATGAATAAAACTTGAGTTCAGTAACTTTATGTAATACATTTTTTTTCAAATTTCGGGCCCTAAAATTAAGGAGCGTCTTATACATGGGGGAATACAGTATCTTACTGGTGGTGTTTCTAGACGCCTCCCAACTGGTTTCCCAGCCTCTATTTATTTACTTTTTCTCACTGTGACTTACCTTCTCAAAACACAGATTAATCTTTTTACCTAAAGCAGAGATCAGGTCAGCTCTCCACCAGACCTTCATTGGCTTCCTGTTGCCCACGAAACTCCCCTGGGAGCCATCCGCCCTGCAGTGGGACCCTCCGTGATGGGGTTCCAATGGCTGGCCGATGCCCTGCCTCATGCTGGGGTCCCAGCCCATGTGTCCCCTCCTCCAGCGCCCCACCCGTGACATTCTCCTACTTAACTTAAAAAGGGCCACGTCCTCCATGAACCCGGCCAGCCCAGCCGGGCACAGGCCCTTTCCTGGCCGTGGGAATGCCGTGGCTCTGTCTTCCCTGTGGAATTTCCGCGTGGCACCTCCTCGCGGAGCCCTCTGTAGCCCTCCCGCCCCACCTGGACTGCGTCTCCGTGGGCGAAAGCAGCCATCTGCTTGTCTCTGTCGGTTGGCCCGTGGCACCCCGCCCCAGCGTAGGCTCTGTGTGGGCTCTGTCATGGGTGGAGATAGTAAGTGCGTCCTTTAGTCAAACGCCACTATCGTGTGCCCTGGGTGGTTGGTGAGAGAGAGCGTTTCACTTAGCTTAACCTTCTGTCCCCTGGGGTGAGTGGCTGCCCCCAGCTGGCCGGTGCTCAGGGCCTGAGAGTCTCTTGTTTGGTTCCATTTCTAGGTCGTCCCTTCCTTCCAACTTGGAGATCAGACGACTGGAAGATGGAGCCGAAGGCGTGTTTGCTGTAACTCAGCTTGTGAAGCGAACGCAGTTTGGTCCCTTCGAGTCGAGGCGAGTCGCCAAATGGGAGAAAGAGTCTGCCTTTCCACTGAAGGTAAAGGCCGTGTGGACGGCACGGAGGACCCCGGTGCTGTCACCTCCCTCCGTGAGTGCCGGCGGGTCGCAGATGTCCTGGGCACAGCTCTAAATGTTGGACCCCTTCCTAATTTCCAAGACAGTTTTCCCTCTTTTTAGTTTTTTATATCACAAGAGCATCCAAGTTAAGTTAGTAGTTTGTGATGCTCAACTTTGCAAAACACTAAAGAGAGTGCATTTAAAATGTGCGTAAGAGGAGACCCAAAATGCTGCCTCACTTCTGCTGCGACCAAGGCTGATGGTGCTGGTGTAGGTGGTGGGCAGTTCCCTGGGTTTGCAGCAGGGTGTCAGCACAGCTACTGCCCCCGCCCCCTCACCCCACCCCACCCCATGCAGAGCAAATGCTACTTTGCAAAGCTCTTTTAGAAGAAGGGTGTTTTGCTTAGGCACCAATGAGACACTGGTACAAAGTTTGGCAGCTCAGGAAGGCACATCAGACGGAATGGACAGCTTTTATGTGAAATCGATGAAGACAAAACGGATGTGAGTTGCAGGGTGGGTTCAGAATATGGAAAGTAAGCCCCAGGGGAGCCCCATGAGGCCACGGTTCTGTCGCCGTGCCCAGCATAGCACCAGACCCAGAGCAGGCCCCCCAAAGCACCTGTGAAATAAGCAAATGAGGAACCGTGCTGGTCCGCCCCAGTTAGGCACGGAGGTGAGCTTTTCTTAGAGACCCTTAACAGAGAGCCACATTTCCGGACAGAGGGGAAATAGATAACTTCAGGGTTTTGGCCTTTGGAAAGGTGAGCTGACAAAGCACATTCAGCAAGAGGAGGAAAAGGAAAGGCATTTGATTTTCTTGTAAGAAAAGAGAGAAGGGAAGGCAAGAAGGCTGTTTGTCGTGAAGGAGTGGTGTGAAGAGGCCTGAGGCTGCGTCCTAGAAAGTCTGTTGGGACCCAGGCCGCACGATGGGCACAGTCGCTGTGGCCGAGGCCCTTTCAACAAGCCCTCTGTGCCCGTCCTGGTTTCCTTCAGTGACTCAGCTCTGAAGCTCTCTGTCTGGCATGAGCTGTTTTCAGCACAGGCTCAGCATTGAGCACCTGTGTGCCGGGGGCAGCCTCCTGCCCACAAGAGGGAGGGCGGGGGCCCCCTTGGGCACACCCCCACCCCAGCTGGGGATCGTTAGGCACCTGGTGGCCCCCCTGCCCTCTCCCATAGCTGCCAAGGGCTCCATCCTGAGAGGGGGGCCTTCAGCTCATTTGCAGTGGGGAACCCCTACAGGAAAAGCCCAGGATATAGGAAAGATTTCTTCCTCCAGTGGGAAGTAACGATTGCAGCAGAAAACAGAACCCTCTGCACTTGCATGGCTGCTTTGAACTTCAAAGTATTTAAGCTTCTCCCCTGCTCCCTGCCTGCATTTAATCCATAAGCCCCAGTGCTGTGTTACACGTGAGGGCACACCTTACAGAGACCAGAAAACTCTGCTGAAGTCACGGAGCACACTTGGAACAGAGCTGGGAGAAGAATTCAGGTGTGCTGATGCCCACCTGGGCCCTGCCTAGAACTCAGGTGTCGAGCTCAGGTGTCCCAGTTCCCAACTGGGTCATGTGTAGAACTCAGGCACTCAGTGACCCCTGGAACAGTTGTCAAACTCAGATGTCCCAGTTCCCATCTGGGCATGCATAGAACTCAGGTGACTCTATGACACCTGGAGCAGGTGTAGAGCTCAGGTGTCCCAATTGCACCCTGAGCCATGCGTAGAACTCAGGTCCCGATGACCCCTGGCCCTTATGTTATGTTTATTGCTCGCCTTTACCTGTGACCAGCCTGACCTAAGACCCTCCAACCTCTAAACCCCTGAACAGGCCCCGTACGGAGCCTGATGTGGCCTCCGATGCGGCACTGCCTGGACCAGTGGCTCGGCCACTCTCCCCGCCCCCCACCCCCACACGCTGACACGCGGACTGCTGGGTGACCAGCTCCTCGCCCGCCTCTTGGCGGGCACGCTGCCCCTCAGGTGTTCCAGAAGGACGGGCACCCTGTGTGCTTCGACACCTCCAACGAGGACGACTGCAACTGGATGATGCTCGTGCGGCCGGCGGTGCAGCCCGAGCACCAGAACCTGACGGCCTACCAGCACGGGGATGACGTGTACTTCACCACCTCGCGGGACATCCCCCCCGGCACCGAGCTGCGCGTGTGGTACGCGGCCTTTTACGCCAAGAAGATGGACAAGCCCATGCTGAGGCAGGCGTGCTCCGGTGCCCACGGTATGTGGTGTGCCTCGCCAGAGGGCCTCGGGGTTCCTCAGCCGCATGCAGGACCTGGCGTTAGGGCGCAGCCGTGCCCGGGGAGCCGGCTTTGGGGAGGCAGAGAGGGGTGGTCCCGACCCCACAAGCCGGGTCTGTTGTTCTGCTTGTTGAATATCCAGGCTGATAGACAATTAGAAGAAGAGCTCCCCCTAAGCCAGACCCTCATTGGTGGGAAGTCGTGCCTCTCAGCTCTCCCAGCTAAAGCCCGCACTGGGACACAAGCTACCTACTCAGCCCTGCCCTCGGGGCTTCCACGCAGTAACTTCTGCCCAGTCCTCTGAGGTCGGGTACTGTCCGTGGTTTTGGGCAGAGGAAACGGAGCCCGGAGAGGGTAAGGAGCCCGCCCCAGCCGCAGTGCAGGACATGGAGGAGTCGGGCTGCAGGGCTGTGCTGCCCACTGTGCAGCCTCTTCCTGAATGTGGGGTGCGCGCGCGCCCGTGTGTGCATGCATGTGTGTATGTGTGCGCACGCGCACAGAAAGACCTAGTGAAAGTTGTGTGTGTGATTGGCCCAAACCTGACGTTCCTCTTAGGAAGAGCAAATCAAAGTGCGCGTCCTGCTGTTCGGGGTCTGGGCGTCACTTTGTGAAGGGGACCCACTGAACTGAAATCTTTGCTGCCTGTGGGTCCCGGTGGTGCAGGGCCTCTCACAGAACCCTGAGAGACCCCGAGAAGTTGCTGGCGCTGGACATCCTTGACCTCTCGGAGCAGCACTCTCCTGTGCTCCCCCCGATACTGAGAGGACAGATGTGTTCACTGTTGCCAAGAAGACTATTTGCTCTGATGCCTCCAAGCGATAGGACGCTGACAAGCAAATGGTTTCCTTTTTATCATGAACACAGTGTGATACGAAACAGCTCTGGAGTGAAAGCCTTCGCAGGTTTGGAAGGTTCTGTCTGTCCTGTGTGCTCACGTGGTTGAGGTTTGTGAGCTGTCCTGGGTGGCACACCCAGCAGCGTGTGAGGGGAGGACCCCGTGAGGCTGCCCAAATGACAGAAATGGATTGTCTCCCGGTCTGGAGGCTGCAAGTCTGAGATCAGTGTCCGCAGGGCTGGTTCCTCTGGGGGCTCCAAGGGAGACTCCTTCGCAGGCCTCTATTCCGGCTTTCGGTGTTGCTGGCAGCCCTCGGCCTTCCTTGGCCAGCGGCTGCGTCACTCCGATCCCTGGCTGAGTCTTCACGTGCCTTCCCCCCCCCTCCCCCGTGTCTGTTCTCTCCGTATAAGGACACCAGTTATTGGAGTGAGGGCCCACCTGAATCCAGCCTGACCTTGTCTTACCTGGTAACACCCACAGAGACCCTATCCAAAGCTTCCAGGCAGACCCGAATGGCAGGGGGCCACTCTTAACCCACTGCAGGCTGGGAGGGGGCCGCTGGAGTGGGGAACCCACTGGGATGACCTGTACTCCAGGTCTGGTGGCAGCTGGACAGTAACGGAAGCTTGGCAGTGGTGGGTTGCCCCCTTCACAGAGATATTCCCAGGGGAAGACGGGCTTCATGGAGTCCTCTTATTTTGATAGTGAAGCAAACAGAATTTGGGGAGACTGATGGCTTTTTGCCAGGCCGCTCCGAGCCCCACCCTCTAGGATTTGCAGTGGGCCTGGCCCCGAGGGAGGCACCTGCAGCGTCACCTCACTGGGTCAGGAGTCACTTCGCAGCATGAGCAGTCGGGCTCACCGGGCGCAGTCCAAGATCACCGCGCTCTTCCTGACCTGGTTTTCTCGTGTCCCCAATTCCTTACGGCCCAGGCAGCCGATGATGCTGTGTGCGCCCTGGGACCAGCCCGGACTGCACGATGGGATTTGGGGTGTTAGAGGCTGACCTTGTCAGTTGTGTCCTGGATGATGGCACAACCCTTACGTCTCTCAAGGCCAAAGACCAAGTAAAGGCTGGTGCCCCTGATCAGAGTCACAGTTCTGTTTGATTTTTACCTGCTGGAGAGCTTTTTGATCTGGAGCTGAGTTTGAGAGCATCTTGTTTTATTTTTTGTTGTTTTTCTTTCTATTTTTAGAAATTTTTTATTGGGGAACAGTGTATTTTTCCAGGACCCATCAGCTCCAAGTCAAGTAGTTGTCTTCAGTCTAGCTGTGGAGGCCGCAGCTCCTTGGCCCATGTGGGAATCAAACCGGCAACCTTGGTGTTACGAGCCTGCGCTCTAACCACCTGAACTAACCGGCTGCCCTGAGAGCGTAGATTTTAATGAAATCAGCCTGATACTGTATCGTCCAGTACAGCCGCCTCCCGGTTTCATCCGAACCTCTCTCATTCAGGAGTCCTAGGGCGACTGTGACGCCTCCCTCTTCTAGCCTCTGAGAACGGGAGGCTGTTAATCATTACCCGGGACAACCGCCTAAGTAGGAACACATGGTCACCCCCAAACAAGTTTTTCAATTAGGAAAACAATCAAGCAACTTAGATACTCCCAAGTTTTAGAATTCCTTTTTATGGTTTTCTGTTATGGGACCAGTGGCAAGCAAGCATTTCGTGCAAGCAAGAAGCTGTTGACGACTGTTAACTAGCTGGGTAGTTGGGCTCCTCATTTCTTTGCTCCCTGAGATGCTACCTGTTGAACGGCCCCTTACGCAGTAACGTCCGCCTCCATGCGCCAGGGCCACTTGGTAAAATAGTGACATAGCAGCTGCCCCAGGTCCCCCGACCCTGCGTCCCCCCACCCGGGCCCCCTGCCCAGCCCCTCTATGGAGCCCCTCCTTCCCGTGTCCCCAGAAGTCCCCTCCTGGCACAGCGAAGCTTCTGGAACCTGCTCCAGCCCTGCCCACCCTGAGTGCCTGGGCCCAGCGCAGCCTCCGTGTGGGCCGAACGTCTCACCCAGCTGAAGCCACGTGCCGGGAGCCCAGTACTGCCGGCTTCTCAGAAACCAGAGTAGGTAGCGTGACCTGTGAAGAGAGGCCTTGAAACACGAACGCTGGTCTTCTGGTTGGTTCTGATTGTCCAGACCCAGCAGGCAGGGAGATGGCTTCGGCTCTCCTCCTCAGTGAGGGGCCCCTGCCCGTCCCACCACTGACGGGGGCAGGAAGGAGGCCGTCACCACGCCTTGGGCCCGGTGTGCGTGGCGCAGAGCCCCGTGAAGGGGGCCTTCCCAGAATGCTCTAGAAGAGTTGTACTAGGAGCTGATGGACAAGCAGCAGTCTTCCCATAAGTCATTCAGAATTTTTCTCAGCGAGCTTCAGAGCTGCTAAGACTCACTAATTCTGTCTCTTTCAGATTCGCTTCAAGCAGGCATCTTTGTTGTAGAAATCAACTGATTTGCAGACAAAATATAGACAAAAGTTGGTTTTGACCTGAGGAGCAGTGACCCACTCCTTTCAAAAATTAATTGTTACTCTCTTTTTCCTGGTAGTGAACTGACTTTTCTAACCACATTTTTTTCTTGAGCTCACATTAAGGTTGATTTTCTGTCGACACAAACCTGGGCCTGTTGACAGATGAAGGACGCCCACGAGGTGTGATGGGTCTTAATGCGTGGTGTCCAGGACCAGCTGTCCGCATCGGATTTTCAGAATTTTCTAATGAAAAAAATATAAACACATTTCGTAACATTTGGGAAACTCTTTTAAATCACATAGAACATCACCATTTTCACTCAACGACTCTTGGCATTTTTGACTAGCTTTTTTAAAACCAGCCGTTGACATGTAGTTTTACATACTGTAAAACTTACTGATTTTAAGGGTACAGTTCAGAGAGCTTAGGTGTATACAGTTGTGTAAGCTCCCCCATGACCAAGACACAGAAGGCGCTCATCTCCCCGAAAGTTCCATCGTGTGGCTTTGCCCTCGGTGCCCCAGAAGCCAGCAGGCGCCTTTGTGCCTCTGTATGTTCGTTCTGCCAATCTGTTAAAAAGCTGTGAGCTTTTACACGGTTCTGGTTTGACTGTCTGCGCCATTTCATTGCTTTTCTTTACCTGCACACGTTTTACTCCCCACCCTGTTGTAAGCCTGCACCCTGTTAGAACTGTCTCTGTGGCGCCGTTTCATGGCTGTGGGGTTATATTTTGTGTAGACACTTCCTTCTTGTTGGATATGTGATTGGCAATCAAGCATTACCTGCTGGTTATTGGCTACTTTCTTATCCTTAAAAATTCTTAACCTTGTAAAGATAGTTTTTGCAACATGGAATACTGCCCTTGATGAGAGGACAATAGTCACAGCTAGTTCTTCTGGTCAGTCCTGATGCGCTGGCTTCGGAGCGCCAGGTGAAGAGAAGAGCTGCTCGTGTCAGGATGGTTTGACCTCGCGTTCGTGAGGTGGGGACCTCATTGCCGGAGGTAGCAGCTCAGCCAGAGTGGAAGAAGTCACCCTGATTCACAAGTGTCGGCTTCCCGTGAAGCCACACCTCATCCTCCTGTTCTGAAACTCCTGTGCAAGCGTGTTTTTCCTTCTTCAGAAAGCGAGTGAGAAACGGCCATTTGGCTCTGACCTATGTTCGTCCGGATCTGATATTCTTCAAGTAGCGCATCCCAGACAGCGAGTGCCGACAGCGGGGCTGGTTGGGAGGGGACAGCCCATCATAGTGCCCTGCTTCCGTGGCACTGGCTCCTGACAAACATTTCATATTGCATTTCCATTGTTTCCTTCATGTTACCGTAGGAGGACTCAGAAAGCTCATGCCCACAGTCGGAGCAGCAGCTGGCATCGTTTCTTCCATGCTTTGCAACCTTATTGCTAGTTTCTGACCCAGAAAGACATGTGCTTTTCCCCGGTCTCAATTCTGGGTGATTTCTTTAAGGAC